AATAATGAACCACAATCCATATAAATTTAATTAATAACCTAACCGATATAAATCCATTTATGTTCATGTGTTCCAATATGAAAGTATAGATGAGGATGAGACTAACTACCACATGCATGGGGGAGTAATGAAAACAATAAGGTTTAATTTGTGACAACCTAAGACCTTTATCAGAACAAACGACAAAGAGCAGGGGATAGGTACCGAAGTGCGTTCTCCATTTCAGCATTAGCCGGGTCCAACTTCAGACCATCAAGAAACGCATCACAAGCCTTTTCATAGTCCTGAACAGTGTTTAATTTGCCGTGTCGTCATCAGAGAAATGGATTTGCTACAACAGCATAAGCGCCATTAGGTATATATAAACGCTTAACTCACCTTCAAGAGCATATGAGCAGCACCATGCCGGTAGCAAGCTTTTGGCCAATCAGGCTGCATAACCCTACAAGCTTCAGCATCAACCAAAGCCTTGTCTCCTTCACCCATTTTAATAAAAAAAAAGGCTCCTATTCGAAAACAATGTCGCATGACCAGAATCGGCCTTCATTATAGCCTATACCATATCAAACCAACAATTAGCACATAAATATATGCTAATTCCACCACTTAAACATGCATGGCTGTACTTTTTCCTAATGACACTACTACAAAAATTGGCACAGTTGTCCATTCCCCATTTTGAATTTTTAGTGTAGTTTCATAGTGGTGCTGGTCACAAGACTGAGTCAATGTTCCAAGGAGTGGAGATAGACGACGAGCATGGTGCAACATATACCACGGAGTAGAATTTTACTGCAGTAGAATAATCTTTTTTCTTGTACAACTAATCTAATTGTATCTATCACACATTCACACCTCATAAACATTAGTAATCTTTTGAAAATTATTTGGTCAAAGTTTAACTCTCGATTCATGAGATTTGTATTTATTTTAAGACAGAAGGAGTACATCCATCTGCCTCCTCGAAACTTCTACTAAAACACTCGAAACTTAGAAAGTTGTAGCTACATCTGTCTCCAAGAAGGGCGCGACATCGGCAGACAATCGGATCGGATGGCCTGGCCCCGCTCGCCCAGCTCGCACCCGCACGCTCCTGGCTCCCGCGATCAGCGCTCCGCAAAAAACAAGCCCCATCTTCGAGCGTCGCCCTCGGTCCTAGCTGCTCGCCCATACGCCCTACCACCGCCACTGTCCCGGAGTGGACAAGGTCTAGGCTGAGATCAACCAGGGTCCGGCGGATTCCTAGGCCAACGCGGCGTCATAGGCCGTGGTGCAGAGCCCCGGATAGGGACTAGGGAGCAGCAGCTCGCGTCTAGAGAGGAGGCAGGTGACGCTGGACGTGATGACCTGGGCGAGCGCCTTAAATCCTAAGACCTAGCCACCGCAAGCGGCCTAATCCTCGCTCCTGCACCCCATCCTTCCACTTCCACCGCACGCACGCGCGGGCGGCAGATCGCGGCGGATCCAATGCTGCTGCGGCTGCCGTGGTAGACTGGTAGCTGCTGCGACGCGCGGCTGCTGGTTCGGTGCCTCTGGGCTTGGGCGCCGTGTCACTGTCGGGATAGCGGCTTTGGCGGTGGCGGCGCCTGGGTGGGCTGAGAGGCAGGCGCGCGGCGGCTCGGCGGCAGTGATCGGCAACGCGTGTTCTGGGCCGCGAACCCTCCCAGGCTGCTGCTGGAATTTGGTGTGCGTTTGGTGTCCCGTGCCTTGTTCTGGTTGGTGGTCTGCTGGTTTTTTTGTGGTGGGATTTTCTCCACATCATCTCCGTCAAGGGCATCAAGGTCAGCCATCCGCCGACGGCTGTGATCTTCAGACTTCAATCAGGTAAAAATATGCAGTGTCGTTGCCAAGCCTGTGTGGGACAATGTCGTTGCCAAAGCTGTACAAGAAAGTTCAGAATCATCTGGAAAAATCGTGAAATATATTATGAGTTCTGTGTGATTCTTGTCACTGAGTTATGAAGAAGCTATTTAGCCATAACTTGAAATTTTAGGTTCAAAAGAACAAAAATATTTATTCATACTACAGCTTTAAGCATTCAATTCCTAACTGAAGAATATAACCTGAATACAGTTCATCAGCACTGCAGAAGACATCTATGATCTAGCTGGTATAGATATGTTGCAGCTTTGGATTGGTAGATTTTGTTCAGCTCTGCAGAGAAGACACATAAGTGTTGTAGGAGTATCTGCACTCTGGATTTCAGTGAACCTCATTCAGGTACATTCCAAAAGATATGTTGCAGCTTTCAGTTCCTAATTAATAGAAGAGCATTTTGCCACAAAGCCACATAAGAATATAAGATCAATATATGTTCATGTTTCAGTTCCTATGTTATATGCCTCATAGTTGTGCTAATCAGATTCCAATGAATCTCCAATGAATAGTTAGTCTATTTGTAATTGCTAAAATGAACATAGAGGCAATGGAATTATCGATGAACAATAACGATGACAGTGTGATCACGATAAGATCAGTGCTGGACAATATATAACAAGGTAACCACCAATGACTGAAATTGTTGCTCTTTTGATATATCTGCTCTAGCTGTCTTGTTTTCTAAACTTTCCAAGAACAATTTTAAATTAGTGTATCTGAATATCTGATGCTTCCTCTAGGAGTATGCTGTTCCTTACAGTAAATAGGCCAATTTAAATACTGAGATATTTTAATTGGGTGAAAGATCATATTAACCACAACTTTGTAGAAGTTCTATATGTTAGTTAAAAGTTCACCTGTGTATGCAAATGTCGAGGCTAGCCATATTGTACTGCCTATAAACAGTGACGGTACTGCCTTTATAGAATGACTGAATTAGTCTGTATGCATGCATGCATGATGTTTATAACTATATATTGGTTCTCTTTCACTTCTGTCAGTATCATCTTTAGAGTGAGGGTTCTATGAGGGTTCTTGTAGCGTATAAAAAAAGGACATCATGTCTAGCTTTTATTTTCCTTCTCTTTTTTTATGAAATGAACATGACACGTTTACATTTTCTTTTATCACAAACATAACTACAGTCCTACTTAATTTTTTACGTTTCAGTTCCTTTCTCCTTTCCTTTTCAGTATTAATTATCGGTTAGATGCAGACCAAATTGGTTCATTTGGGCTTGTACTCTTTATTTGAATATAGTACAATTGGTAATTCTTTTACCTTTGCTTAGGCCTTGACGGAAGAGCACGTTGCCTAGAAATCATGAACTTTTCTAGGTGAGCAACCTTATCATCTATCAAGTAAATATAAGAGCGAGCGACTGATAACAGATAGTGCTTGATGGTCAACTCTATTTATCGTAGGTGGTTTATCAAAGAAACCGTTTGGTTCCTTAGGTTAATATGGCCCTGTTCGGCTGGCTGGAAAAACGGCTGATGCTGATGCTGATGCTGATTTGCTGTGAGAGAAAAATACTGTTATTTCGCTGAAACGGTACGGCTGATAAGTTTAAGCAAACAGGGCCTATATCTGACAAGACATATGTACTGTAATAAGAAATCAGTTCATATGTTTTTCGAATTGTTACTTCGGAAAAGCTCACATCATATCAACTGAGTATTTCTTTTATAGAGAGTAAAACGAAAGGCACTTTGATATTTCTGCTCTAATTTACTTTTATAATATCTCTTATGAAAAAATACACTGGTAATTATAATATTTTAGGAAAAACTACTGAAAATGCCTTTTATTACATACCAACCCACTACTACAATGCACAAGTAAATCAAACATTTAAAGCAGATGTAGCAGTAGGTACTCTATCCGGTGTCCTTTCTCTTGGGTTAGTCTTGTTAGTTGTCATTCTGATTGATGTGTGAGCTTGACCAATTTTAGTGGTCATTTGATATTTTTGTTTGTTCCCCGGATTAGCGGTTGTGAAGTTTTAATTTCACTCATTCATTCTTTATCACTTATTCAGGATCCTCATGTTAGAATCTGTGTGTTTTTCATTGGTGCTAGCCCTTAGTAACATCTCGTTTGTATCGTCCAATTGAGCATGGACTGCAGGAAGGAGAGCTACGTGGGAAGCTCAAATTCTGGTCCCATGCTCAAGCTGTTAACTTTTACTATGCTTGGCTTGAACGTTTTCTGCTACCGGTGACACAAAAAATAGACCTTTTGCCTTTCAATATTTTAGTCTATCTGCCATTTAGATTTTGTGATATGACCTGTTGGCTGCTATATGTTAATATCTATTAGATCTTTATTGAAATGTATTTACTTGAGGTGGTGTTCTCTGGCTAGAGTTGCATCTAGGTCAATACTAGTTGAATCATCTCTTTGACTCTTTCACTAGCTGCAGGTTGATGATCACTGATATGTTCCTCAACCTTGAGGAGGTCAGAAATTGATTGGTGTTGCTGGCAGTCTTGCATATGTGGCACCTGAGGTTTTACAAGGAAATTACTCGCAAAAGGTAGATATATGGGCTGCCGGGGTGCTTCTGCATGTTCTACTGATGGGCAGTTTTCCATTCCAAGGAAACTCTGATGAAGCTATCTTTGATGCTATAAATACTATCAAGATTTTTTTTTCTCTTAGCAATCTTTAGATATAGACGCACAGTGAGGATGGCATGACTGCAGATTGGTATGTACCGGTGAAGTTCCAACTCTTGTTGCACAATTTTTTCTTAGCAAACTTTAGGTACAGTTGTACTAATATGCTGTTGCAGTCATACAGATAAGTTTAGTTTCCTGCTACTACTTTTAATCTTTGAAACTCTTATTACTCTATAGTCTGGGAACAAATAATTGGGTCTCATTCATTGATGGTCTAATACTCTAATTGGCTATAGTTGTAAAATATCTACAAATGTTTGCATGAGACAGTAAATGCCTTCATTTCGCAGTTCAGTTGCTTAATTGCTTAAAGTGACTTTTTCACCATTAGAAGGCACAACACATATCCTGAATATAGGATCAGCTTGGTTGTCAGTTTCTTTTTTTGAGGAAACTGGTTGTCAGTTCTTGTTCACCTTATTATCTTCTTTAACCAACATGAATAAACCAGCAAAGGTTAATGTTACCAATGGATCATATACTAATGAAACTACAGATAGTAGCAATGGGTACTCACCAGAGAAGCATCTTAAGGTTGACAGAAAATTTTTGCCAATACACTCAAGACAAGAAATGGTTTTCAGTGATGAATACAAGCCAATCAGCAAGCCGATCAAGAAAGTCGGGGAAGAGCTCCAGCCGATCAAGAAAGTCGAGGCATGTGTGTCTATTTTTCCAATGTACAACCTTGCCATACATTTGATTTGGATAGCTTGAGGTTCAGTTTGTAACCTTCTTCAGCATATTAGTCAAAATATAATGACTTTTTTGTTCATTTTAGTATAATAGTTTCGTCAGTGCTGAACCATCTAAGCTCCATCCATGGATATTTCCTCTCACATCATTGGTTACTGTAAGTCAACTCTTCAAAAATGCAATGAACCATATTCATGTTTCTTTCACATGGGAGGTTGTGTACCTTGAAGGTATCCCTATTTCCATGGGTTAGTTGTATGGAACAATTATCTACCAGGACTAAGAAGAACTCATGTTCTAGAGATAGCATTCCTCTCATTCTAATTACAAATTATAATGGTGTTAGCCCGTGAGAACCAAAATTAAGCATTGAAAATTTCCAATTCATTGTATGTAGGAAATATAAAATGCATGGCCTCTAATTGTAGCATAATGTTTCCTTTTTCATTTCTCACACAACCATCACGATGAGCAAATAAAAGAATTTGGAAGCTGCACTTAGGCCTTTGTCTACCCACAGTGAGTGCTTAGTACAGCATGCTTGACAAGATAGAAGCCTAGAATGTTGCGAAGTCAAGAAATATGAAAATCTTAATTGGAGAGTACAACACCTGTGAATTTGAAAGTTGCACTTAGGCCTTTGTCTGCCCACGATGAGTACCTAGTATAGCATGCTTGACAAAATACAAGCCTAGAATGTTGCAAAGTCAACAAATATGTTGAAGGAAAATCTTAAGTGTAGAGTACAACACCCGTGAATTTGAAAGTTGCACTTAGGCCTTTGTCTGCCCACAGTGAGTACCTAGTATAGCATGATTGACAAGATAGAATCCTAGAATGTTGCGAAGTCAAGAAATATGTTGACGAAAAATCTCAAGGGTGGAGAGTACAACACGGGCATTTACCTAGTACGTATAATAGTCAAGAGAGAAAGAGTATATATAGAGACACTCCGGTAGTAAGATCGACACACATCAGTCCCTGCATAGCACATGTACATATATACATCGATCATCGATCAAACAGCAAGCAAATAAACTAACACAAATGGAGCTACTACTCTCTGACGAAGGTTTGGCCGTCCTTGTGCCCATCGTGGTGTATTGGGCGTATTGTGGCCTGCATGCAACGCTTGGCCAGTCCATGTATATGGACAAATACAGGCTGCACCCAAGCACTCATGAAGACAGCAAGAACCATGTGTCGAAGCGACAAGTCATCAGCAACCTCCTCAAGCAGCAGCTCATGCAGGTTGCCATGGTGGCCATGGTGATGATGTTCAAGGTACGTGCGTAGTGTGTGTGTGTGTGTGTGTGTGTATAAAACTGTGTGTGTTTAAGATCATTATTATTGCATTGCGTGCCAGCATGCATGATTATATGGCTCTCTTTTTGGTACGGTTCCTTGCTACATATAATTGTTAGATTTGATCTCATCCGTCTTGACCCAACGGTCGAGACGGACCCCTTGACCGCGTCCTGATCGGGGACGTCCAGCCATCTAGTGGTTGGTGGGCCCCCGTCGTACAGTGCATATAAAGAGGAGGTGGGGCAAACGGCTCTTAACACGTGGTTCACCGCCGCCACAGCCCCACTGTCCTAACCCTAATCCGATCCAGAGGGTGGCACTGCCAGTGGCGGGAAGCGCCACTGCCTCCACCACCGTCGGTCTCCACAGCTACACCAAACGTCGCTGCCCTAGCGCAGATCATCACCGGCGAACCAGCGAAGGCAAGGAGCTCCTCCGACGGTCAGATGCTCCTACATCTCCCTCTCTCTCTCTCTCTGTCTCCTACTCCCGAAGCAAACTCTAGGTCTATGTGATTCAGTTAGAAAAGAACTCACCCACTGGTTCCACTACTAGATGATCCAAACTAGCTAACAATGGTACCAGAGCAAGGTTTAGTATGTGGATCTAGATCAGGGAAAGAAAAGAAAATCGAAACCTAACCCTAGATGGGGTACGGGAAAAGTGGGGATGAGATTGAAACACGGTTTCAACAAAGAACCCTAACCCTAAAATCCCCAGTCTAGTTCGTAGATCTAGATCGGGGACAGGAAAAGAAAGAAAGAAAGATTGATCGATCCGGATCGGATCGGGAAAGAACAGACTGTAACCCTACCCCTAACTGTGATCTCGAATCAAGAAAGAAAGGACGGATTGGAAGGGGTTTTCTCCTACCTGGGGATCCCCTGCGCCGTCACCACCGCCTGCCGTCGCACTGGACGCTGCGTGGGAAAGAAGAACAGTCTCTAACCCTAACTGGGTGAAGTTGGAAGGGGCTCGGCTTCAAGACCGCTTGATCCGAACCCTAAACTCGCAACCAGATCTCGGGGAAAGAAATAGAAAGAAAAGAGAGAAGAAGGTGATTCAAATCGATTCGAAATTTCACCAAACCCTAACCCTAGAATCCCCAAATCCCAGCAAAGATGAGAACGAACACAGGATCCTACCTAGGCCTTCATCCCGCCGTCGGCATCGCCACCGTGTGGGAAAAAGACTGCGGCGTCGGCTCTCGCCGGCGTGCGGGAAGACGGCCGAGCTACGCCACCGCGCGGGCTCGGTCTGCAAAGGGCACCACCGTGGCTCTCCTCGACGGTGCCGCGCGCGGCTCTAGCCGCACGCGCGCGCCGGCGAGAGGTGCCGCGGCGGCGCCGCCATCTCCACTTCCTCCTCTGGACGCCATGTGCGGCTGCTGGCTGCACTCGGCGCGGATGAGAGAGAAGGGGAGGGAGAGAATGAGGCTAGGGTTACAGGGGGAAGCGCCGACCCGGTGATTTTGTTCACCCTAGATGCGCGCTCGGCCGTCGGATGCGCACGGACGGTCGAGATCTAGCGGGCTGCATCGCGGCCCAGGCGGGGCGCGCGGCCGCGGCGCTTTGCCGGCCCAGGCCCACGTTGCGGCCTGGGTGGCAGAGCGCGCGCGCGAGGGAGCAAGGCCGGGCTGGATGCCGTTTTGGGCCGAGCCAGCTTCTACTGTCTTGTGCCGAGAAAAGAAAAGAATGAGCCCGGGCCGTATCTCCGGTTGGGCCGAATGCACAGTGGTGATTAAGAATTGTTTTATTATTTTTCAGAAGCAAATTTTGATGATTTCATTCAAAGAATGATTTAAAATCTCTGATAATTTTTGCACCAACGTGTTAGAATTTTCAAAGAGTAGAAAAGTACAGAAAAATGCTTCTGAAAAGTAGGAAAAGAAATTTTGTCGAGTTTCCGCTGCAAAGTTAAAGGTTTATTGTCTTCTAATTTGAAGAGCAGTTATAGTTATTCAGTAAATGATGAAAAGTTTATCCTCCAGTTAAAATTGGAACCAGCTGAAAAAAAATTAATTGGAGGAATAGTCTGTTGATAGTTAAGATAAATTATAATATTGTTATTTTCTGACCAATATTGATGATAACAATATTATAAGTTTAAGTTTAAAGTTAAATTATGGTATTGTTATTTTCTTACCAACGTTGATGATAACAATATTATAATTCTATGAGTTTTATGTTTAAAGTTTAAATCTCTGATGAATTTTACATCAAAGTGACCAATTTTTCAGAGAAAAGATAAAGATCAAGGAATGCTCTTAAACTAAAGAAATGTATTTTCATATTTCCGCTGCAATGAAGTTGATTGTCTTCTAATTAAATTCGAACCAACGGGAGAATTTAATTTTGAGGAGCAGTACTATGTTTTCAAGATTATTGAATTTCTATATGTTAATTCCATTTCTGCCCAACGGTGATGTGGAATTAATGTAGAAGAATGATGTTTTATTCTATTTCTGCCCAACGGTGATATAGAATAGAATATAAATATTTCAAAGTTTAATGAGCATTATTGTTGAATATTTTTTCAGACAAAAGACCTCCATGCTTTCATTCTTGAAGGCAGTAAGAGAAATGAGCTGGGTACTTATGACTCAGATGATGAAATGCCTAAGGGCAAGTTATGTATGAAAGAATGACATTGTTTAAGAGACTGTGTTCTCTTTAAAGAATGGCTTCAAAAGAAAAGAATTCTAGGATATTGATCCAAGAAAAGAGATAGATCAATGAGAGTCTTCATTGAGAAATGTCTTTTATGTACTCTCTGTGAAGAAGATCTTATTTTCAGTTTCACTTATGAGAGTTGTAAAAGTCATATACATGGATTAAACATGTGTGTTAAAAGAATATTCGGATTTATTTCTGAATTTGATGATTGAACACGAGCCAATCCTGGCAATTATGTCCATTCAAGGGAATTATCTCGCATGGCGGGAAAAGGTTGTGACAGTACCCGCATGGCGGGAAAAGATTGAGAAAATACCCGCATGGCGGGGTAAAGTTGGTATAGTACATATGTTAACCAATCCTGCATGGCGGGAGAGTTTTGGCATAGTACTTATCCCGCATGGCGGGAGAAGGATGTGATGACTCATGTGCTCTAAGTGTATCCCGCACATGGAGAGAAGTTTGAGGTAGCTTTTATGCTATCCTAGTATTGACCGTACACTCTGATTGTGTCATGGTCATTAAGTACTCAATGAGTTTAAGAACAAAAGAAAGTTGCATGTGAACCAAAAGATAAGAATGATATGCAAGCATGACTTGCAGAAGTATTCATAATAATAGACTATGTTGAGTTTTGAAGTGTAATGAGAAAAATGTACTCCCATACGAATTTTGTTTGCATGATGTAATCATGTGGATGAAGTAAGTAATCAAAGTTTCCTCATTCACAAGAGTTCTGAATGTTTCGAAATTGTTGTAGAAAAGTTCATACCACATTTCGAGGGGGAGAAAATATAAGATTAATTAAGAAAGACAATTAAGAAAGATACTTCCCCATACTTTAGATAATGCAATGCATACTATGCATTGAAGGTAAAAGTGATCTATAAAAGATGATTGTGATCATTGAGGGAGTAAGACGGTCATAATAACGATACCCCTAAAGTAAAGAAATAGCTAAATTCCCCATACTTGACGAGTTCAGAGTTATCGAGGCGGTGCTAAACGCGCCATATGAGTTTTTAGCAGATTAAACCC